GCTCGCAGGCCTACCTTAACTCAGCTCACTAAATTATAGGGCTTTGAGGTTAGAGCTAAAAAAAGCCCTATCACAAAAAGGTCCTATTGTGTTAAAGCCCAACATAATACTCTACAAGCTGGCCCGCGCTGGCTTTAATCCATTTTGACACTTCTATTTACAATGTAATTTGTAACAATAGGCTTTTAAACTATTTCATCGGAGTATTTGTGCTTTTTGAATACAATCAGTTGATTGGAATAGTCAAGTCTTTCAATATAACTAGTATTAGGAAACCCGGACCGACCCTGTCGGGTCGACCCGGGAACCAGTAAACCGGTCATATAACAGGTCCGGTTGAAGCAACGGACCGCTCATGCATTAGAACTGGTGCGACCCGGTCCGACTTGGCCGGTTTTCATGAAAACCAGTGACCTGGTCGGTTAACTGGTGACCCGACCCGGTCCCAAAAAAAAATCCAATTTATTTTTTCAAAAAAAAAATCATAATGGACATATTTGAATATTTTTTTGCTTATTGACTTACATAAGTTATGTACCTACAACACTAATATTATCTTAATTATGCACTATGCAGAAAATTTTGATTTGATTTATGGGTTTGGTGTTTGTCATTTTAAATGACATAAGTTATGTCATTTTAGGAGAGAGATAAATACAAAAAAACGAAAATCATGGGAGAGAGAAAGTGGGGTTTTTTTAAATTTAAAATTCAAATTTTCTGTGTCTGTATCTCTCTTAAAATGACATAACATTCTGTCATTTAAAATGACAAACATTTTTCCCTTGATTTATAGTTAGAGATGTCATTTTCTGAACTTAAAGCCCCGTATCACGATCATTATATTTTTGTTTGATTTTTTATTGAATAATAATATGTGATTTATTATTTTTTACATTAAAATATTTGAAATTTTTATCATTTCTTTTAGATATTTGAGTATGTTTATACTTTTTTAATATAAATTATAAAATTACATATAATTACTGGGTTATGCGGTTGAACCAGTGACCTAATGACTCAGTACCTCAACCGAATCAATGACCGAGCCGGTTTTAATAACATTGAATAGAGTTGCAAGATGACACTGAGAGTTGCTAAGAAAAAAGAATCCAAAAAAAAACCGATTTACGTTAAAATAAATAATAGTATTGTACATATATACTAGTCTCTTTTTGAAGGATTTACATCTTGTGTTATTGTTTTGTTGATGAGGCATGGATATTTGGCGAGAAAATGTTGCGTTTTCATGGATCCAATATGCATAGCATAGAATCACAATGACTACATTTGAGGGGGAAAAAAAGTATTAGTCAACATCTAGAAGCGACGATTGTGATTCCAAATTTTGGGGAAAACAAACATCCTTAATCGCTATGAAATTGGAGAATGGGATATGGCTTCACGCCAAGATTTCCTCCACAATTGATAATTCTGTTTAGACTATGTTCACTGATGAACACATGTGGAGTTAGTTATAATAATATATTTTGTTTTATAATTCTTTATTTAAAACATAAAAACATTGCTTCTTATGTGGCAATCTGTGCTTTTTATGGGTCAAATCTGTAGCATTATCTTAATAAATTTTTCAATTGGCTGTATATTTGTCTAGTTTATTTCCCTATCATGAAAAATACCTTATAAAAAAAGAAAAGAAATTTTTTTATTTTGTATGGAGAAGAAAACTTAAAAGCAATATTTTTAATTTAATTATAAACTAAATTTTATAATATTCTAAGTCATGGGTAATTTACATATTTGTATTTCTAATTGAGATCATTATTATATTATTTTATAATCACATGAACAATAACGTTGAGTATGTAACAAATGGTAATAGAGGATTAACTGAATTAATTGAAAAAATAAATTATAGAAAGCAATTTATTTCGTATAGGTTTTCAATATATAATAACAATACCTATGAAGCACCGACACTTCAAAAACTCTAACGTGTCGTGTCCGACACTTCTCGATACTCTCGAACACTTCGATACTCCCCAACACTCCAACACGTGTTATAAAAATTCAAAAAAAGGTTCAAAGATTGTGTTGCGTTAAGATTTTAGTTTCAATTATTAGATTCGTTGAATTACGATTACTATTTTATTGAGTTTAATATAAATATTTGGGATATCTTATGTTTTTTTTCAAAATTTATGAATATTATAAGTTTAGATTCATTTTTTTTGTTAAATTATTAGATATTACATACAATATATATTACATAAATTAAAATTTTTATGTAATATCAAAATGTGTCCTAACGTGTCAAAATCTAACATTTTTTAGAATTAACGTGTCGGAGTGTCGTATCATATCGTGTCACGTGTCTCGTATCTGTATCGATGCTACATAGAACAACACAACATACTATTTAAATAAATAAATAAGTCAGATCATAAAACATGAATCAAATATAATATAAATAAATACCCCTAATCAGATAGATGGAGCAAATAATATGAGGTAAGAAATTGAACCTGAATATTAAAAATTTATTGTTTTGTGATATTGATGTGCAAGATGATGCACGAAATGAGGCATGTGCCATCTCATAATATAATATTTAACAAATAAGTAAAGAATAAGTTCGTTCCAAACACATGCTCACTGTCTTGGATATTGCATTGCACCACTATTTATGTATTCAATTACATTGGTTTGTAGGTTAACACAGATGGCAGTCCCCTACACCGTATACCATTTTATATGTAAGGAAGAACAGTAAATACTGAATATTAATGATATTGATAATCTTTTACATGAAATTTTTATTAATGCTTCTCTCGTATACAATTGGCCAATGCACCTGAGAGTAAAACTCCTCATTTCCCATATATATAATAACATAATCATGATTCATTGCATTTATCCTCAAAGCTTCTTTAAAGCCAAATCCGGGCTCAAGGCAACCTGGATCTGCTCCGAATGAAATGCGCTACAAATAGTGAATCCATTATATAAAATAAAAATAAGTATTTTTATTATCAAATATTTTTGTTACAATTCACTACTACTTTAATATAATTATGAATTTTAAGAAATATATTAAAAAAAATTTCTTTCTCTTCAAAAACTTTTCAAATATTATCAGTTAAAAAATAAAATCAAACAGTGATTAAAATAATAATAAATTAATAATAAAAATATTTGATAATAAAAATATCTTATCTCTCTAAAATATTAATGATGTATGACACATCAACCCGAAAAAGATTTTACTTTTACATTTACTTTGGCCAACATTAATCATAAGATTCTTGTTACTAAAGTTATCATCTCACCGTATAATTGTATACTAAGATTCAGTGGCGGAGCTAAGATTTAATTTTAGTGTGGGTTAAAAAATTTGACAAATCTATTAGAAAAAAATTTACTTAAACTTTTCAAAGTAATAGAATTGATGTTGTTTTAACCAATAATAAATATTTATTTAAAATTTAAAATTTAAAATATAATATAAAATTAAATTAGTAAACAAAGTGCAAATTATATATATATATATATATATATATATATGAAACTTTCATGTGATTTTTATGAACATTTTCATGTGATCTTTATGAATATTATTTCATGTGATGTTAATGAAAATTTATTTCATGTGATCTTTGTGAATAAAATTTTTTTATCTTTTATATTTTAATTTTTTTTGGGCCTATAAACTTTAGTTGCAACTTGGTAGGCCTTTCAGGCCATATTAGATTTTTTAATTTTTTATAATAGGTCAGGCTAGACCTATAAATCAAGCCCTTTTTTTTTGGTAAATCTATAAATCAAGTCTTTAATAGGCTAATAGGACAATATAGGCTCTAAATATTTTACAGCTTAGGCTATCAAAGCCAAAGTCTGGCCTAACTTGGCCCATTTATATCCTTAGCCGTGACCTGTAAAAAATATCAAAGTAGAGAAACAACAAACTTCACAGTTAAAAAGAAACATTGAACAATCAGAAACAAATGTCTAAAATCATTTAAATGACATTGGATCCACACAAATCATTTAATCAATGTTTAGATATTTTAAAAAAAATTTAAAAATACAAAAAAACAAAGAAGTTGTTAATGAATTTGTACAATAAATTTTCATACTCCACATATATACATATATCTTCATTGATTTTTTTCTTTAACAGTTTTCACTTATCAATCGCCAAAATTCTCATTCTTGTTGTGAAAGAAAATACAAATAACACCAAAAAACAATTCAATTTCATTATCAATAGCAACTGTAGCTCTACATTAAAATAATTTTTTGTAAAAAATATATAAACGTAAAATAGCACTCCATTTTTTCAAAAGAAATAAAATCAATAAATACAACCATCACAAAAAAAAATTGTAAATATAAAAAAAGAGCATGAATTTCACTCAAGTTAAAAACACCCAATAAACAATTATGGTCAGCAAAGACAGAATTTTTCTTTTTACAAGGTTCAAAAATGTAAATCAATTTTTTTCCCTAACGGATAATATAATTACCAATGCATATTTCAAAAACTTGTATTCACAAAATCTTAAGAAAGGAACAAAACATCATAATAACTGGGTTCAAGTGATGAATTGGAATAAAAAAAAAGATTAGAAAAAAATCTAATTGGAAAGGGATGAAAGAAAAAGACAGAGAAATTAAAAAAAAAAAAAAAAAAAAAACAATCTGTTTTTTGATGCTCCAAATCTTCATCTATTACCACTCTTATAATTTTAGCTCCAAATCTTCGTCTTATAATTTTAGCTAGAACCAACTTACAATTTTAACTAAAACCCAATTATAATTACTTATATAATTATACATAATAAATAAAATTTATTAAAACGTAAAAGTATAACGTGGCTACAGCAACGTTAATGTGGGTTGTTGCATCTTAAGCAACCTTCATCAGAGACAATAGATTTCAACAAAATTAAAAAAATAAATAAATAAAATAATGAACATATTCATACAAGCACATTCCGGGTATTGGAAGTAATATAAGAAAACGGGTGACCCCTCTATTTCCTTTTTTTCTGTTGTCACAAAATAATGAAACAAAACAAAACAACTTGCTAAAACAATGTTGTGAACCCCCCCATGTATGTACAAAGTCAGTTGACAGCAAACTGCCTACTTAGAACCCTAAAATCATGTAGCTTCCTTTTATCATTTTGATACAAAATTGAGTATTCCCCCGCCTTCAAGCATGCATGTTCATGTTGTTGTCTCCATTCACTTCCATATAAAATGTCTGCAGTCTTCCCCCAAAACGTGCACAAAATTGTAAGAACCAACACAAGCATCTGTCCAATGTTCTTGAATGTAGTCGTATAGGATTATCAACATTGCATTCTGCTCCCTCTTCCAAGGCTGTCTGTGTATACTGTGTGGCTCATACCACTCCCCCGAAGGTCCCATTATTCTGGTCGAGAGAGCTTTCAATGGTTGGAGATCACATAATGAGGAAATCAAAATAAGCCCATGAATCTCCTTCCCCCAAGATGATGATGCACGAGAAGAATCTGCAGATAAGCAGCAATGGCTAAATGTCTCTCTTTCCCATGGTTCCAGTTGAGCTCTGCTTCTTCTGTATGCCATGTTGCCAGGCATCTCTGGATTTATCACCCACATTATCAAAATCATCCAAGGAATTCTCCATTGAATACCTTGATGGACGATGATTCCCATTTTTTGAGCTTACTGGAGCACCCATCTTTTCATCATCTTCAGATGGTGGTACTCCCAACCTGGATTCCATATGATTGTCCATTGATCTATATCTTGGTCCAGTTGATCTCACGCCCCTCATATTGGAGGGAACCTTACCAGGCAATGGTGTGTAAACAGGTCCTTTGGACACCAGAAAGTCCTTAGGAAGAGAGTCCATTTCCATATAGCAATTTCGGGATTTTGCATCACCAATCAACGCAGCCCAATCATCAGATTGCACCAGAGCATTCGCATTTCCCATGATCTGTCAATGATAACAAACTATTAATACCAACCAAAATAAACACTTATAATTAAAAATGCATTCGAAAGTGATTCATACCCAAAGGGCCCTTCTTGCACGCGTAAGGGCAACATTCATTCTTCGTATATCTGCAACAAAGCCAACCCCATGACTGGATGCACGCACACAAGACATTATAATGACATCCCGTTCTTGACCTTGGAAAGCATCAACTGTATTGATATATAAATCTTTCCCTTCTTCAGAGTTTAAGACCTCCTCAAACTCACGTTGGAGGCACTTCAACTGCAGCTTGTAAGGAGTAATTATGCCAACAGTAATCTTTCCCAGTCCCAAGGATTTCAATGTTTTCTGAATATGCTCATATAATCGGAGACAAAATTGTGCTTCATGTATATTTTGATAGGAGACTGATCCACCTCTGTGAGACTCCCGTCCATGTCTGATATCATAGAATATATAAGGTCTAAGTAAAGGGTCCTTGTAGTAAGCTTCATCAGGCAATTTAAGCACACTTTCACTATCAGTGAGGCGCCCCTGATAAAAGTATCTAGAAGGAAAATCCCGAATTTCGGGATGCATTCTATACTGCACAGACAACAACATCGTCGGGCATCCTGCTTGTTGGAACCTTTCAAAAAGACTCCTACTGTACATCAATGTTCCAGCAGCCTTGCTGATAACTGTAGCAGGAAGCTGCTGAGGATCTCCAACAAGAACACATCGTGCTGCACCAAGAGAGAGGGGAGGCAGAATTGCCACCTCACTGGCTTGGGCTGCCTCGTCAATGACCACCATATCAAAACCATGGGAAAGTCGAGAGAACAACTTGCGACCACTGCTAGAAACTGTAGTAAAAACTATCTCAGCTTCATTGGCAAAACTGGCCTCCAAATTAGCACGGGCCTCTTCCAAATTGAAACCGCTACCAGGTCGGAACCTACTTTCCAAAAGGGCAAGTCGAGACATCTCAACCAGAATCTTATCCCTTCCTTCAACCACAGCTGCAAGGTTCTGTAGCAAGGCATCCCGGTTCTGATCTCGGGCCATGAGATAGTCAGGGTCAACACCAACAGATCCTTGGGAACGAACAGCAGCAGCAGCAACATTTAGTTCCCTATGAAGATGATGTAATTGCTGATTCAACTGTGCCTCGCGAGTCTTTAACTGGTGCATCCATCCCACAACTTCTTCCCGACTCTTGACCAGAAGCTGCTCAGTTCTCCGCTCGACAGAAACTGCTTGGGCGGCACGTGTCTGAGAATCAACCCCAACTCGAGCAACATCAGGTCTATATACTTTCATCTCTCCATCAATAAACCCACGATCAAGGACACGGGCAAGAAGCTCATCAGTGGCAGCATTAGAAGGAGCACAAACTAACATTCTAGGTTTTGGGACCAGTTTAGGCAAAGTTCGCAAGAGATTCTGGTCCATGTTTTGAAGAACTTCATCAATAGATCCAGTGGGGGCATTCTCTGAATTGATCTCATTAGCTTGCTTGTAGCTTTCAGGAGCTACATGCTTAAGCAAAGAGGTATAGTAGTGCTGATATTGTACAAGGTGAATGACATTCAACATTCCCCATACCGTATGTGTCTTTCCAGTTCCAGGAGGTCCTTGAACAAGGGTAAAAGGCCAAGGATCTTGCCTTTTTGTTGTCCCACTACTTGTACCAGCAGCTGTATGCATAGCTGCCCACTGGATTGCTGCCAACTGGGGTTCATTGAAGGTCCTACGCAGATGCTCAACAAAATTCTGCGTGAAGCATTCAGGCATGGCCGGGGTCTGTTGCTCATATTTAGGGAAGTGTTCGGGACTAGGCTGAAGGATTGCAGTTTGCATCTGTAAAGTGAGAAATCAGTCAGAACTGCAGAATCACAACACTATCAGATATCAGAATAAGATTCAGCATTTACCTGTATATTTAAGCGACGAAATGCATGTAGAGCAATATACTCTCTCTGTGTGGTAGCAAGAGAACCAAGCACTGTGAGATACCAGATGCTTCCAGTTTGAAGTTTTCTTACTATATGATCATCATCAACCCTGCAGGAAAGAACAATCTTATCTGAGTATAACTATCAATCCATAGTTAGTACATATCAACACAAAACAATTGAAGGGACCTTCAAATGGAAAAATTTGAACAAGCACTTGCCTGCTAGGATCATACGAGTCCCCAACATAGTAATGGAGAATTGCACCAGGAGGATCACGGGTATCAATAGGAATATGTCGCCTAACTGTACCCACCACACGTCCAGTGATTTCAGATTCCCCATCCTCCTGAGCTAAGGATGAACTGTTCTGCTTGGATCTGACTGCTTGACATAATGAAACTGTCAACACGATTGGACTACCCAAAAAAATTATTAGAGCAAATATTGAGGAATCATGAACTGGATATTAGACAACAAACCTGATCCAGGCCTAGGGGACGAAAGGATTGCAACATCGCCCTCCTTAAACGACCATTTGAACTCATGTACTGGAAGAACTTTCACATCATACCAACCTAAGAAAGAGACTCAAACAAATTAAGCCCACAAATTAACAAAAACAAAAACAAATAATTAATCAATATACTGATATAGAAACAAACTGTAGAATCATGTGTTCGTTGAAATTGTAGGGACAATGCAAGAAATACAATCCTTAAAGTAAAGCTGCGTACAAAAAGATTACAAGCACAAGAAGAGAAAATTAATTCCATGACTCAGGAGAACAAAGTTTCCAGCATACAGATGAAGTTTCAGTTAATATCAAGAGGTAGCAATCAATATCACAGTCAGATTGTTGACCAAAAAAAAAAAAATGTCAATCTAACATAAAACAAGGAGTGAAAGGCATAAGAGCACCTCTTTCTCTTGACTCATTTGCTTTCACTCGCACCATAATATGAGTATCCCTTGACACTGTTTCTGTTGATTCTTCCCAGGTACTGTAAAGTTGAGCCCGGCATTCCTCAAAAAGCAAAGGCTCAAATACTCTAACATACTCTTCCAATGATTCAAATCGTCCAGGAACACATTGTAGCTCAGTCTCCTCTGAATTACAGGATAACCAATTAGTTACCAATAAGATTAAATGAAAAACAAATAAACTTCAAAAGGAACTAAAGGATATATCCCACCAACTCCATATCTAAAGCGGCAAATAACCAAAGTAATCATCAACTAATTTATTAGCAGGAAGTGCATTTAAACTTACATATGCCAGTATAACCAACAAATATTAGGAGCCAGCTATACGAAACCATGATTAATACAAGTTAGAATTCTATAAATGGATAATAGTTGTTGAACTTAGTGTTAAAAAGTAAAATGATGGTCAAATAATCATTAATATCCGCTTAGACAATCTAAAACTATGGCTTACAAAATTTTAAGATGACATAAATATTTTGCACTCAAAACATGCATTCATAAAAGCCAAATCTCATAAAACAAATTTCACATATTGAATAAAATAAGCAATTAGGATAAAAACATGGAGAAAGAGGACAGATAATAGTGAATATACTGAATTCAAGTAAAGCTCCAGGTTGCCCTTCCGCCTGTTATCTTTCCTTCTTTCTCAAGAAAAAAGCCAACTTGAGAACCATAACACAAAAGAGGCATATGATGGTGACTGGATTACATAAAGAATTCATGTAAACCACTGGAAGCTATCAAATCAATATCAAATTTCATTCCAAAAACAACTGTCATCACCTTTGCATGTCTCTCCAGTGTTATGACTCTCACAGTGTGATAACTGGAGGAAGGGAGCAACAAGATGAGAAATCAGAAACAACTTAAGTGCAAATTCAAATCCAAAGAGATCATAAAGCTTATCAATAACAGTATATATTTGCAGTAGTAGTAAAAATACAATTACTTGATACCTGGGTGATGCCAAAACTTTTCACTGGTCACCTCTCTTATAAGGCGTTCAACAGAAGAGTCCTGGGACTGGATGCTGACAGAAGTCTGCTTCTTGTTGGAAAGATGTTTCTTGTTTCCCAACTTGACATCATTGGAGCTTTGACCACTCTGTCCCAACTTCCTATTAGGAATCAGTGCATTCTTCTGCTGCCTCAAATCTGTTGGTTGTTTCCATGAACCCTGTCTTGGAATAGGTGGTAAATTGACCTCTGTAGGAGGAGGTTCTGTCTCACTGTTTAGCCTCCTAGACCTGCCAAGTAGCCCAGAATTATCACCATTACAATCTGATTTAGGTTCATGTGCTTCAGCTTGGGTTCCACCTTCACCAAAAGATGTGTCAACCAGTTTCTGATCCTTAGCTATTCCAACACGCTCAACTTGGGGAGGAACAGTACGAACTTCCTTCACAGTACGACTAATAACAGGTGATGCAAAAGTCTGCCTTCTAGGAGTTGAGGTCTTAATAGGACCTGCCTGCTTGACATCTTCCAGGTTAAGAAACATGGTCTGTCTATTACGTTTCTTTCCCAACATTTCCTCTTTACGTTGGTCAATCTTCCTCTTCCCAAGATTATTCGCACACCTAAGTGCATGACTTGCTTCAATACCTTTGACTTCTTTTTGCTTGGGAGCTAAACTGGGTTCCTCCTGTGCATCAATAGAAGCTTCACTTTTTATATTGCTTTCAGAATTTGGGATACTATTGCTTTTCTGTTCACTAGAATTTGATTCTAGACCTATAGAAGCACGGCTATTCTTTTCATCATTTATATTATCAGAACTCTTAATAGTGCTAGACTTACTGTCATAGGCCACTGCAACACTCCCATCCACCATTCCAGATGTCGTCTGCTCTTCCGATGCTTGACTACGTTGTAGCAAATTATTAGCTCCATTGACATCAGTAAAACCCTCCTCATCAGACCATTCCCCTTCTTCCCTCTCCACAAATTGAGCATTTGCGGAACTTAATATCCGTGAATCCATAACTTTCCCATCCTCATCTTTACTTGAATTAGTGGTAGCCTTTGTATCCTGACGTCCAGCTCTCTTCAATTCAGTATCCGCTTCAGGGGCAGGAGTGGATTTAGACCGAACAAAAGGTTGAAATCCAGAGACAGATGAGGCATGTGAAAAAGCATGATTATTTATTATTCCTTGGGCAGAAACAGTAGTGGATGCTACAAATAAGTCGGAAGCATGGGATTGGGTACTTGTTGATGGGTGTGTCTTTTGGGGCTGGAGGCCAAAAATACCATCCCTCTCATCATTATCCTCTGCAGGTGGCTCATTGAGATCAAATAATGGCCTTCCTCGAGAACCCATCTCATATGCATACGGATACAAGCTAAATTCTGAATAAAACGTTGAACAGACACGTTGTTTCTATTCTTTTTAAGAGACAATATCCATGACATGCCCACAATAATGGAAGGCAGTGGATCTGCAAGCCAAACACACAAAAAAAGGTCTATAAATGCTTTAAGCAGAGGGCAGGTACGAATTATAAGAAACAATGTGCCCCCAGAAGATGACAGCAATTATAATAACAAACAGAAGGAAATTCACAATTCCCCGATCTTTACTGGTAAGGATGATATATTGTTCACAGCGTTTATAAATTGACAATCATAATTAAACAAATATAAAAAAATTGAAACAAAATACAAGATAGAGTGGGAAACCCTTGATAGAAAATCAAAACCTAACAGCAGAAACAACTTGATAACACCACTAATACTAAGACTTCAAGCAAGCTTCCAATGCTCATTAAACACCAATCCCCTCCTTCTCACACAACCCCACCAACAAAAAGAGTTCCGTTCAACAATCGGAGAACAAGGGGCAGAACCCAATCCCAAACAGACCAATAAGATACAGACACAGCACAAGCACAAAACAGCCCTCAACTCGCATCTTCCTGGATAAAAAAACCACTAAATTTTCCCAAACCCCAAAAACAAAACACTAAACATTCAACCATAAAACTCCACCCCAGTGACCCCAACCAACATATCTAGGGTTTCAATAATCAAGCAGTCACTCACTACCTTTACCAACAACCCCTTCTACCAAGATTCCAAATTCCCACAACCAGCACACACCCTTCACCAAGATCTTATCTTTACACACACCCCGCGTTGAGAGAGATCAAACCAACCAGTTGCTCATTCACCCAATCGAAAAACCACCAAGAAAATAATGCACAAAGCTAAATAGTCAACCCCTTCCTCATTCACTATCATTCCATCTACCATTATTCAACCATTAATACTGATTTCTCTATCCAGATTTCCATCACTGAAGAAATTATCAAGAAACCCCCAAAAAAAATTTAAAAAAAAAAGTGAAAAAGAAAAATATTAAATTGAAAAATTAAAATAGTCTTAGAGAGAGAGAGAGAGAGAATTTACCTCTTCTCACTCCGCACAGAGGGGATTATGGAGAGAGAAAGAGACAGATATAGAGAGAGAAAGAGAGAAGAAAATCGCTCTATACGTGCAAGTTAGAGATATAGAGAGAGAGAGATGCAATATGCAATTTGATGAGGAGAAGAGAGGATGTGGTGACGGGATTTTATAGGAAAATATCGATCCCATCTCGCCGGCCGGAGTTTTCACCGGCCACCGTTAAGTGATTTCCGTCCAAGGCTAATCTCGGCATTTTAAAAATTTATTTATTTCAGGGGTCAAAGTCGTAAATTTCTTATGCCGCCAGGGGTAATCTCGTAAGTGAAGTTTTTTTTTTTGGGGAGTATAAATACCTAGAGAAATTGACCCACGGCTGTGGGCGGTGGCTTTTGGCCACCACGCTATCGGAATCGATCAAACTAGTAAAAATTGCAATTGCAAAATTTCTCCCCAAAAGGGAATTCCATATTTCTCCTAGTAAATACTTTAGCTTTTTATTTTATTTTTCTTCCTAGACGTTTTTTTTTGTTATATAATTTTTGTATAAGATATTATTACTATCAATGTTATTACTATGTCTAAACTATTAATTTTCGTCAATTAACGATTATCATTTATTACGAATTAATAATTAATTAATGAATTTAATTTGTAAAAATAATAACTGTTGATGGAAGAAAATTAACGATTAAAATATGATAGTAACCTTATTTAGTAGTAATAATATCTTATCCCATATATTTTTAAAGATAGATTATTCTACCTATTTTTTTATATTTACTTACTTTACCTACCGACTACCATTTATCAACATCATTATATCATAATTTTGAAAGGAAAGAAATAATAAAAGTCAGATGAGATTTTGATATAAAGTAATAGGAAATATAGACATGAAAAAAATAAGTAAAATAACGTATCGAATATTTTTAAAAGGAAAATTATAAAAAAGAAAATTCATTAAAACATATACATTTAGATAAAACATTATTTTTGTGTAAAACATGATTATTTTTATTATAAATCTTTATTAATATTTTGGCTTTAACATTTCTAAAGTGAATGTAAATCAATTATCTACATTCGCTCCCAAAAAGATATTGTTTTGGGTTGAAAAATTAAAAAATAATAATAAAAAATACTATTATAACCCTGAAATAAATTATAATTACAAAAATACATTGATTTCTACCTTAAAACGACGACGTTTTGGGTTCAATGTAAATAAGTTATCTACATTGACTTTAGAAAAAGTGAACCTTAATATTTCATGTTATTATTTTTTTATGAACATTCCTTTTTCAATGGTATTAAATGAGATTCAGATAACTGTATACAACAGCACCGATCATGTTTAGGAAGTTTGTTAGTATATTTTTGTTTTATTGTTAGAGTATCGGTATTTGTTAGAAATTAATGGTCAATTTAGAAAACAAAATGATCAAATTAATTATTTTTTAATAAAAAATTCAAATGTTACAATTTTTAAAGATAATATTCAATTTATTACGTTGAGTTTCATATCTTGATCATGCGGGACAGTTATCTTGTCTATTTAAATAACTATGGTTAATTTCCCAAGGGTCCTGCCGTGCAAAAATAATTTAGTTTTACTGTGGTTAATTTTTATTCAAAAGTAAATCTCTTACCATATAAGATTGTGACACGTAGCACTCCAGTCTTGCATGGGAATAAATCTTTGGTACTACTGCTATACCTAGATTCAGTACATGTTAGAGGAAAGAAAAAAAATTTGACGGAAAAAAAATAAAATTAACTGACATGTAATATTTTTATTGGTAGGATGCACTGAATCTTCAGTAGAACAGTAATAGTAAATATTTATTCCTTGCACGCATAGAACGGGATTTTCAAAGCATTACATTGGTACTGTCTTTAAAAATTATATTATTTAAAAGAAAATTAAAAAAATGAATTAGTTTGGTCATTTTGCCAAATTACGTGCCTAGTTTATTTAAATTATGAAATATAAGAATTTATTTTTTATTCATGTTTCAATTATATAAAGAGGTTTCTTATTTTATTATCATTTTTTACTTTTAAAATAAATCACAGGATTTCCTAAAACTTATTATTAATTACTGATTTAACTATTTATAGAAGGATATATTTATACATATATGTATTACTCACTTAAATATTTAAAATAAATATAAAAAAGTTAAAACTATAAATACTTATTACTTTCTCATTAATTTTCTTTATAATTATAATCATAAAAATTAATGATTCAATGGCAAGTATTAGCCAAAGGTAACAATAAAAATAGCATACATAATTTTACCAAAAAATAATAATAACATACATAAGACTCAAATATATATCATGGACTTTTATTTCCTTTTAATTTATCAGAATTTTTTTTTACAATAACGGGACTGATATTTTAAAGATTATTAATTAACAAACAAAATGAAAACAATACTTAGTTTTTTCTAGTAATTGGGAAAATGAGGAATAGCATTTTTTGTGTACATTAGTTGGTTCATGTTTCTACTTATCGTTACTTTATTTTTATTGTTATTTTTTTATAAATACTTATCGGGAAAGTATTTCTCCAGTTACTAGAGATAAAGTTATTTTCAGTAAGCTCAAAATGATGTAATTTTGGGGTTATAATATTAAAATCTTATAATAATAAAAATTAATATAATCCTGTAATATATTATAATTACAAGAAATTTTTGTCCCAAAATAATGTTGCTTTAAATTCATTAGAGATAACTTATCTTTCTTGATAGGAGAAATCATTTGCTTATACTTATCGCTACTTTCTTTATTTTGGTATGGAATAATGGACTTGTCGTTACTTTTAACAAAAGGTTAACATAGTTTATTTTACTTCTTTCTATTTCATGATAAAAAAACAGCATTTCGTTGTCACAAAACAACAAACTCAGTTATTAATCAAATATATATATCATCATTACACTGAAAAAGCACATTTGTTTATTTTAAAGTTATAGTATTATATATTTGGAAGAATATGCTTATTATAGTAAAAACCTTACCCCGGATAAATAAAAAATGCATAATGAATTCGTTTGTAATTATATCATTTTTCAAAACAAAAAAAAATGTAGAAAAAAAACAAAAAACCAAACAAGAATAGTAGCAGTTGGAAGGATGAAGATTAAAAAAAAGTTGGGTCCATTTGTTAAAAGACAATTAAAGTGTTATTGGCACAAAATGGCACGGGAGTCATGGATGTTGAAAGCAATCAATTAAGTTGCCTAAGGTGGTACAAATGTTTTTAAGATTTTTACCTAATAATGGAGAAAGAACATTATGTGTTGGGTGCTTATGCTATTTTTGTTTAGGTTTTGTGCACACGTTTTTATCTCATTAGAGTTAGTTGGTGGATCAAAATCCCCTACATGAAATAATGCCACATCAGCATGGAATATAAAGTTTGACAATCGGGTGTGCCACTTCACTTCATTTTATTTTTCTTAATTGCATTGGTATACTTCAGAGTTCTGTGTAACTGAGAGGCTTAGTTAACTAAATTATGTGTAAATTATATTGACCTCTTCGCCTATATTAAAAAATTGATAATTACCATCAGTACATACATGAATCAACTGATAAGGAGCTATTTTAACGTAATCAATAATTTCAAATTCAAGTTTTTGAAAAATGTAATTGTATTAAAATTTGATAAATAGAGTTTTGTCGTTTATATAATCTTAGCCAACTCGAATTGAATTAATCAAATAATTGATGAATGGATAAGTGATATAAAAAAAATAGTGAGTACTTTTTTTAATTAAAAGATACTCATTGTTTATAAAAAAAAAAAAAAAGATACTCATTAATTTTTATCAAACTGGAAAAATCAGCTTTTATTTTTTTTCATGTATAAGCTAGAGTCTCGTGAGAACACAATATAGGAAAAAGTGTTTGTCATTTTAAATAATATAAAGTTATGTTATTTTAAGAGAGATAAACACAAGAAATTTTTTTTATTTAAAATTTAAATTAAACAAAATTACTCACTTTCTCTCTCTCATAATTTTTATTTCTTGTGTCTATCTTTTTTAAAATGACATAACTTTTGTCATTTTAAATGACAAACACTAAACCCCACAATATAATATGGCAGTTTGGTTAACGTCTTTATATGAAATTAGAAAGTTCATTCGCCTCCTTTTAGGAGTCGGAGAGTTCAGTGTTTATGATGTATCAAATAGTTTAAGAGAAAAATATTTCTGCAGTTAATATAAATAAATTATTTGTATTTATTCTCAAAACAACGTCGTTTTGGTATTGAAATTTTAAAAAAATTATAAATATAAAGACTATTATAATGCTAAAATAAATTAAAATTATAAAAATACCATAATTTTCGCCTTAAAACAACGTTGTATTGGATTTACGGGATAAAAAGCGAACCCATAGGTTAATCCAAAATTTTCACTTTTCGTACTGAGTTAGGATCATGTTTGTATATGTGTTAAGGATCGACCAAGTAGAAGTACGATAAGGATTAAGGAATCAAAAGAAAAGCTACTCTAGTTTCATATTCCTACTTACGAGATACTTTTAGATTTTTTAGAACTACTTTTTGTTATTGCTTTTTGATTTTTTTAATAATGATAATAACACCACAAGCTAGTTAGTTTTCTTTTAATTAACTTTTTTTTGAGTAAATCATTCGATTCTTGCATCTCTCACATCAAATATACTTTAATGACTAATTATTCTCTTTGTGCATTTCATGGATCGTTTAAATTAAATAATATGATTATGAATCTTTCACTTGATAAATAATTATTAAATCCACGCTTAAATTTATTTATTTATTTTAAGAAATCCTTTTGTTAATTTTTTTAAAATAATATTTGACTAAAACTTTGAACATATTTATAATCTGAAAAAGTATGTCATTCTAAAATTTAATAATTATATAATTTTTTTTCAAATTTAGATACATGATTTGAATAAAAAATGTTATATTTATTTTGACACGTTAATTGAACTTTTGCAGGATATGAAAATATTTATAATTAGAGATAGGTTGTGCTTATTATTTATTTTATTACCTTTTATAATCACTTTGTTATGATTGAATCAAAATTAAATCAATAAGTATTTGATA